AAGGATGAACACGCATAAGAATCGGGTCTGTTTGCAAGAGGAAAGTTTATTAGGAGGTGTGGGGAAGGACAGGAAGAGCAGCAACAGCCGAGGCAACCATGACGCACCTCAAGAGGCCCCTTTCCAGCTGGAGCCTCTCAGGCCACCAAACACAGGCAGCAAGAGAGGAGCTGGGGTGCAGAGGTGCAGAGCCAGGCCTCAGCCCGAGGCATCGGTCCTCTTTGCAGAGTGTGACTCGTAGTGGCGTTGGATACGGGGTCCAGAGGTTGGGCAAGTCCCCAGGGCTCTTTCTGTCTTCGTGCAGTCTCCCGCTGGCTCTGGGCTACTAGCACCCAAAGGTGTTGCAGGGCCCACAGCGGGAGCGGGAAATACAGGGATTGGCGACACAGGGTCCGATGGGCTTGTCACAGGCGTTGGTGGTGGCGCAGGGGTTGCAGGGCAGCCTGGGACACAGGAGGATTAAACCATCAGATGAGAACACTCATTTCAAAAAGGAAGTGGCTTGGACACAGATAGACATGGGGAGAACAGAACCAGATTCCTGATGCCTCAGGAAGCGCAGTCCTGCTCAGAGGCTCCTACAAACTTGGGGGTACTGGCAAGAAAGAGGAATCCCGGCCTTTGCTCTATAACCCTGGCCATCTGGGGAGCCACTCTGTACCTCTAAGCCTTAGCCTTGCACCCATAAAATGGGATTAGTGCTAGCACCCACATGTAAAAGTTCCAAACAAGTGTGTTCACGAAAGCACTGTGTGCGCCAGCGAGTGGCGCATCCGCCCAGCTATGGAGCCACCATCCCCGGAAGAGTCGCTAGGGCCTATCTAAAGCTGGTTGCAGCTCCCACTCTGCTGTCTTCCAGGGATTCCAACAGGGCTACAGGCAGACCGTGGATCTTAAAGTCTTGTGGACACCAGCAAAGGTGATGATTGTCACAGTTTGCTCTCCCTTTTGAGGTCACCAGCTGTCCCTGAAGATGCAAAGCTGTATGGATGCATCAGCCGCCAACGGCTCACCAGTTGGGACAACCGGTATGTCCTGTTTATCTTTAGCAACAGAAAATACCTTTAGCCCAGGTAATGCTAGCAATCCACATGTAGAACCCTACACTTCCCGAAGCTGTGTATAAAACCCTGGTCTCGTAGACCCACTGCACCCATGACTGGTTCTGCCAAGTCTATGATTTGTTCTTCCGTAAAAGTGTGCATGTGCCACGCAGGGGCCGCCAGCACCCTACTCACTTGCAGTCCTCGCTCTCCAGCAGCCCCCGGTACGTGTTGATCTCGCACTCCAGCCGCGCCCGCACGTCCAGCAGCACCTGGTACTCCTGGTTCTGCCGCTCCAGGTCACCCCGGATCTCCGCCAGCTGCGACTCCACGCTGCTGATCAGCTGCTGCACCTGCGCCAGCTG